GGCATGCTGAATAATAATGAATAATAATAATAATAAGCGTATTCCTGCTCCACACTCACGCTTAAGGTTAACGACACAAACGATTAGCATATTTTTGCATATCAGACCGTGCGTACTGTTGTAATTTACAATTACAACACACATCACGAAGTCATTCAGGACAGTGACTGTGCCGTAACAGAGTAACGCCATGGAGCTAACTATACAGATGCAGGCGTGTTTACACCAAGACGTATAATACAGCCTCTGGAATCGGAGGTGTGACGTTCTGTTGACGCGAGTGCTATGGGTTTAGCATTGTGGGAACTAAGTTAGGGAACGATGCGATGTTTTAGAATCTTTGATGAGATTGTGTCATCCAAATCAATCATGCAGAGGTACAGAATAGAGACAGGCCATTAAGGAGCAGGGGTTAGACAGTGAATACAGAGACGGGTCATTAAGGAGCAGGTAGGGGTTAGACAGTGAATACAGAGACGGGTCATTAAGGAGCAGGTAGGGGTTAGACAGTACAGAGACAGGTCATTAAGGAGCAGGTAGGGGTTAGACAGTGAATACAGAGACGGGTCATTAAGGAGCAGGTAGGGGTTAGACAGTGAATACAGAGACGGGCCATTAAGGAGCAGGTAGGGGTTAGACAGTGAATACAGAGACAGGGCCATTAAGGAGCAGGTAGGGGTTAGACAGTGAATACAGAGACGGGTCATTAAGGAGCAGGTAGGGGTTAGACAGCTTGCTCAGGGATGCTTCCAAGTGGATCCAGGAGATTGCTGACCTGTTTTAATGTCGCAGCACACGTTACACTCAGTGGGGGACGCCATTAGGCAAACACACAGAATAGCAATTATAATAATAATACACTTTGTGTAGCGCTTCTCGGAATACATATCCCGCTCAAAGTGCATTTACAGAACAGTCCAGAACCATGTACACAGTTGGAAATTAATTGAAATTTCAGGATAAAAGACCCCCCCCCCCCCCCCCATAGCCAAGCCTGGAACCGGCCATCTGGTTATTCCCCAGGTCTCCACGTTAATTGGTGAAGCTGTCTTTATGCTGCAAGCCGCTGAACGTCTAGCTAGCCATGTTACGCTGCCGCCCTCTAAAACCAAACTGAAAACAGTCCAAACTTAGCCCTGCAGTAGTCTGCTTTGCCGGCCTTAATAACTATTATTTTATTTGTCAACTGCCGGTCCTAATTATTGTTTTATTTTACATTACTTTACTTTTTGCTATAGAACGTTTGGCTTGCCTGCTTGCTACTTTATGAATCTCACACAGGAAATTCAGGAATAAAGAGAGGAGATGAGAAATTTAAATGCGTGGAGTGAAATGACGGTGAAGCACCGACCAAAATTGAGACCGAGGAGGCATGTTGAATATCATATAGCGTATTCCTGCTGGCCCTGCCGTCTATGTGTTGTTCCTACAGAACTCACCGGAAGACCGCTGCGTTTGCCGATGAGCCCGCCGCACGGCCCCCCCCCCCAAGCCGGGGTGTCAACGCCAGGAGGACGATGCCAAGCAGATCGTAGGTCACATGTGACCCGCAGACCCTTCCGGCTTCTCTAATTGTCACAATCACAGGGAAACGGTGTGAAAGGCGATATCTCGCCACCTTTCTCCTATTTGCTGACCACAATGTTATCTGCGCCCGTGTGTGTGTGTATACGCTCTCTCAGGCGCCTACTGTAGCCACTCCACCGCCATGGCGCCGCCAAAAACAGGAACAACCTTTAACCCACCGCATGGCACACCCTGTGGGCCTTGGCTTTTGATTCGGCGGCATACTGGTCAGCATAGGACAGGCCTATCATACTGTATGTAGTCATGACTACATACAGGACTGTGAATTTACCCCCCCCATTAGACTAGGGGGGGGGGGGGGCATAAATTCACAGTCCTGTATGGAGTAATGACTACATACAGGACTGCTCCCATGTTGTGAGTGAATTTACCCCCCCCCCACCCACGCCCCCCCCCCACACTTGCTGCCCACGGTAGCAGCAGCAGCAGCAGCACTAGAAACGGGGAGGAGCCATCTCCTCCCTCCCTCCTCTCCCCCACCCCCTCTCCCGCCCTCCCCTCTCCCTCAATCAACCCCCACCACTACGCCTTCGCACCGCCCGGCGGCCTGCGATAGGAGGATGGCAGAGTGGAGGAGAGAGGAGGAGGAGGAGGAGGAGAGAGGAGGACTAGGACACAGTGGACGCGGGGGGGCTATTATGTTCACACGGGCGGAAAGGCGTCACGTCGGGTAGAGAGAGAGAGAGAGCCGCATCGCGCGGTGAGGAGGAGGCGCACGGAGTCGGGAGGCGACGGCGGGTCAACCAGAGGAGGAGGAGGAGGGGGGGAAGAAGGGAGAAGGGAGAGAAACACACAAAAAAACAATGCATACCGAATAAAATTAAAAACGGCCCGGGGAAACGGCGCGTGGGACGATATCGTCGACTCGTACCGCGGTTTTCCTGCTCCCATCGAACCGCGCCGCCGGCGGGATGAACGCGTCCCCCCGCGGCGCGTAGCGGAGCGGACCGTGTTTACGTCGGACAAAACCTCCTCCTCCTCCTGCTGCTGCTGCTCCTCCTCGGTCAAGCCGACCCCCTTGTTCATAAAAAAAAAAAACGGCACCACCACCACCACCACCTCCCTCGTCGTGTGAACCACCGAGAGGTCCGCACCGTGAGCCCCGTCCTGGACCGGGAGGAGGACCGCTTCCAGGAAAACACCGCGGCGGCGGCGGCGGCGGCGGCGGCAGCGGCGTCGGATCCGGGGGACGACCGCTGGATTCACCACCACCACCGCGGAGAGCAGCATCACATCACTGTCACTAATGGCATAGAGACATCTGCATACAGACAGACGGACGCACGGACGGACGGAGAGACAGGCAGGCGGACAGACAGACAGACGACGACGACGACGGCGCTCCCGAACCATGCACCTCTAAAAGACACCCAACACAGGCGATGGGTAAGGAGACATTTTGAGGAGGATTTGTAGGGGGGGGGGGGGGGCATGATGGTCAGGTTGTGTATCACTGCAACGTTGAGGAGATGGGGCCCCCTGTGTGTGTGTGTGTGTGTGTGTGTGTGTGTGTGTGTGCGTGCGTGTGTGTGTGCGTTTTAAAGTTGCTTATTTTCCGTCTGTCACGACATGACAGACTGATGGTGATGGGGAGGATGAGGATGATTATTGGTCGTAGTAAGCATTAAGGTGTGTGTGTGTGTGTGTGTGTACCCTGATTTTCAGTCGTCAGAGGGGTATGGTAGTGATGTCAGAGGGAGTGCATGTTGTTGTCCATCGGCCTGGAAGAGGCTCAGGTTTTTATTAAAGGTAATGTTTATCCCCCCCCCCCCCCCCCAACCCCCCCCCCATCTCCCCTCCCAGTGGAGTCGTCCGCTTATAATCCTATGATGATGCACTTCTGTGTTTCTGACCCCCCCCCCACCACCACCACCACCCCCACCCTCATTTCACACACATAAGACTAGGAGTCAAGGTGCTAAGTGGGTGTACTCCACTGTGATGCTCCCCAAACAACAGCTAGACAGCCCATAATACTACGGATGTTGGGCTGTGGGTGTTTGCTCCTGCTGGTTTTCTGAAGCCCGCCCCCCCACACACACACACACACCAATGGCCTCTTCCGGTCCTCGACCCCCATCCTGAGCGGTGAGGCAGTGGCTGGTGGTGGTGGTTTGTGCCGGACCCCCAAGCGAGGCCCCATTTAAAGTCTCTTTTCCGGCCGATGCCAAACAACAAAACGCGACCGGTGAGGCTTCCCCTCTCCCCCCTCTCCCCCCCCCAACAAGGCTTTATTCCCCCGTGGCGGGGGGGCCCCAGGGGTCAAATATTGACATGGGTTTTGGATATAATTAGGAGGTTTCTTTGCCCTGGGAGGCCTGGAGAGCAGGTGTTATCACTGGGAGCCCAGAGGTGGTGTAAAGGCCCTTTCTTCTCTATCTTTAATCTGGTGAAAATGCTAGTAGCCAGTGGGGGTGGTTGGTTGGTTGGTTGGTTGGGAGGGATCGGTCGGCTCAACATGCTTTAGCTTCCCCTGAACCGACGCTGCCCGGGAGAGGGCGTTGCTGAGGGGTTTACATCCGCGCTTGCATTTTTTAATCCTTGAGTGATGTTGTGATTGTTGTGATTGTTGACGTCTCGCATGTGTTGTGCTGTGATTTCATAGACGTACACAGGAGATGATAATGATGATGAAATGAGAGCCCTTTCTCTCTCTCTCTTCTCTCTCTCTCTCTCTCCCATGTGCTGGTAACACTCCTGTTGGTCAGTTAGAGGAGAATGGAGCCATTGAAGGGTACTCAGGGCCTGTGTTCCTTTATTATTAGCAGGCTGGTGATCCAGGTCCTCACATTTGACCAATAGGTGTGTGTGTGTGCGTGTGTGTGTGTGTGTGTGTGTGTGTGTGTGTGTGTGTGTGTGTAGCTGTGTGTGCGGTCTCTTTATGTGCAACTGTGTGTGTCACTCGTAACAAGATGTGAATGCCAACAATATTCAGAAGAACACTCTCTATGAGGAGAGGACAGTCATTCAGCTCGTGACATTTGACCTTTCGCAGCTCCCCAACGCTTCATCATTGTTCCTCACCGTCGAATTCATCAAATCATCCAAAAATGTGACGGATAAATAAATAAAGCGAGCTCCTTGAGAAGGAGCAGCATTGTTCTTCCCTGGAGTTGGCCGACGGCCCTGGCAAGACCAGACTCGCTGCCCCGTCACGTCGGCGTTTGTCTACCTCCCGTTTCAAGAGTACCTGGGTGAGGGCACAGGGGGGCAACAGATTGCAGTAGACAACAAGATGATTTAGACAATAATAGGATTTGGACAATAAGACAAGTAATTATGTATTATTGTTGTTATTATCATCCGGTTTGCTGTCATATATATATATATATATATACTATATATGCCATGATTTGGTGGACGCTTTTATCCAAAGTGTCTTAAAATACTGTGAGTGCATACCTTTTTAGCAGTGGTCCCAGTGGGGATCGACCCCTCACCCTGGCAACGTCGATGCCATGCTCCACCAGCTGAGCTAGTCAGGACC